GTGGGGAGCAATTACAAAATGCCAGGAGGGAGCGAGGACGTGAGGGACATCCCAGGGGACATTAATTCCTGACGGTGAGGTGAACTGGCAGGGAAGGCTGCAGGGCTGCAGGGTCAGGGCGAGGGTCTCCTGCACCCCTATTCTTTAAGATTGAGTGCAAGGAATAAAATAGCATTGAATGGGTGGGAGGAAATCGGGAGAAAAGAGATGTAAAACAAAGAGCATGCAAAAGTTGTTTGGGTTTTTTTTTTTTTTTTTTGGCTATAGGAAAAAGCATCCTGTGCTCCCCCAGCCCCGCAGTGAACAGCAGCGTGTGCCGCCCCGGTGCGAGACAGAGCTGGGAAAAAAAGGTGAGCCACTGTCTTCAGAGGTTTAGAGTTTTCCCTCCGTCCCTAACTGCTTTTTTTCTCCTCTTTCAGTCTCTTCTCCCTCCTCCTCCCCGCTTGTCAGCTGGTTGGTGGGGAGAAGCAGAGGCTGGAGGGGGGGATAAGACAAGGCATCCTTGTCCAGCAGCCCTCCTGACCCCCCGGCACCCCCGGGCCCTGCGCGGTAGCAGCAGCGTTGGCTGCCTGGCAGGCTATCAAAAGAAACTTCCGAAAGCCGAGATGTTGAGGGCTGGGAAGAGATAAAGGCGGCTGGCTTGAGCAAGCCGTTTCTTGTCTTAAAACTTGGCACCTGGACCTATCAAGGGGAACGTATGAATGGCTCAGCCATCCATGACAGGGAAGCCTTGAGATTTTCATTTGTATTGCAATTTTTTTTTTTTTTAAATTTCCTGGGGAGTTTCCGTCGTTCGCTCTTGGCATATTTTAGATGTGGAGAATGGGGAAAGGAAATACATGCTCTGAGAATTGCCCTGGCCTCCCCCCAGCTTGCAGACGCTGCAAGAGATTAAACCAACCTGGCTGCCTTAGCACGGGACATTCCGGAGTTGCATTAACCAGGCGGGAAATCTGCCTGTTGGAGCAGTGGCAAACTGGAAAAAAAACACGTTATCTTTGCCGTAGCCAAGTGAAGGGCCATGTGCTGTGTGTAATATCTGAGTGCTGACATCTGTGGGTTTTCTTTTCCTTCCCCTTTCCCTCCTCCTGCTTCTTTTTTGCTGTCCGTGTATCTGTGATGCTGACTCCTCTCTCTTCTCCTGGTTTGTGCCTGGCAGCTCGAGCCCAGGGGTAGGGAGAGAAATAAAGACCTTTTTATTTTGGCTTTGAATAAGAGATTAAGTCTCACTTTTTCCTGATGAGGAAACGCAAAGCCCTGCTGTGGCAGGTGGGTCAAAGCAGGTGTGATTCCTCAACCCCACGACTGAAGTGACAAACGTGCGCAGAGCTCTCCAAGTGGGGCACGACACATCCCTGACCCCAAAATCACCCGTTTTCCTCCCGTCCTTGAGAATGAGATGTCTGTAGCAGGGGGCATGGCGAGGCCAAGATTCACACAGCAGGATGGAGGAGACCCTTCCTCCAAAACCCTTTAATTCTGGTGTAAAGGCTCAGTTCCCACCCAAGGTATCTACCCAGGACCAGAGCGTTGCAACCTCTTGCAAGGGCTCTCCAACTCAAAGGGTTACAGGATCACAGGGTAACTCTGAACCTGGCCAGCCGCATGCGTGGCGGGGACCATTGCTCTTCTGGACTGGCCCCAAATGTCCCATGGTGATGTCCCTATCTCCTGTGCTCACAACATGGTGCATGGTGGCCTCCCCTGGCTTTGGGGGAGGGGAACAGGGCGCAAGGGGCCAGCACCATGTAGCCAATATGGGGGACGCGTATGAAGATGCTGTAATTTGGGAAGTCTTACTTTGCCAGTCAGTGAAATCGGGTCAAACTGAGTTAGGAGGTGGCTTAATACAGGGTTAAATGGTAAAGGAAGATGGTTGTGTGTGTCCTGGGTGACTTGTGGCATCTCCATGGCATGGCAGAAGTGGCACAGAGCTGTGCCAAAACAAGGGGACAGGATGGGGCCAGGGGAGGTGAGCAGCATGGGTGGGCAGAGGTCCCTGGAGAGGCAGGCCTGCTGTTGGCAGCCACTGAGACTGCAGACATGGTTTAAACAGTGATTTGAGAGGTGCTTAGATACTTTTCCACCACAATCACCGCCCCAGGTGTCCCCTTCCCTGTCCCCCAGCCTGGCTGCCCATTTTGCAGAGAGCAAAGCAGGGCTGGCGTCCCCGGAGTGTCCAGGCAAGGCAGGAGCTGGATGTGGTGCATGAAGACAGTGGTGGCATTTGGCTGGACCAGTTGTGGCAGTGGTGGCGTTGGCTGGGGGTTTCTGCATGAGGTGGGACCAGGACATCTTGGCTTGTGCTCCGTTCCCAGTTAAACTGGTGGGATTTGAACCTGGGGATGGTACCCCCATCCCTACACAGGAATGAAGACCTGGGGTTAGTCAACCTTAAGGCATCAGGAGGGAAACTGAGGCACATGAATAGAGATTCATGGTAACATCAGTGGTGAGAAATGGGTCCAGCCAGGGATGTGGCTCTCCCAACCCACTTTAGATGACCTTTCTCTCCAAAACCCCATGCCAGCCAAGATGGACTGGAGGACCCTGGGCCAGGGAGGGGAGGCAAAGAGCTAAGGAGACGCCACAAGACCACGTCACTGGGGCAGGCATTCTGATGCTTAATAATTTGGCTTTGCTCTTGCTAATCTATCTACTCCATCCCCTGTAACATCTATGAACATCATCTGGGGTGGGAACCACGGTGGGGACGATGCCCTGTTGCTAAACCCTTTGTCAGCTTTACTCAGACACCCTTCCCCTCCCCAAATCCCCCCTTCCCAAATCTTGTAGGAGACCCGCTGGGGGTAACGAATGTCTCACGCGCTTTGCTGGGCTGGGGGCAGCTCCTGAAGCCCCGGCTGATGCTCTGCTGGGCGTTTCTGCTGGCGTTCATTGTTGTCATGTTGCAAGAATTATTGGGGGGGGGAAGAGAAAGGCCGGGAGGGGAATGAGACGGGAGCCTCCAGCTGTGCTGTTTGCAACAATGACGGCCAGGATTGTATTTATTATCTCCTCAGTGGAGGGTCTGCAGCTGCACGCTGAGAGCCACAGGCAGCAAAGAGGCCCGGAGATTACTGTGCATGAAAAAAAACCCCAACCACAAAAATAAATAAAAAGCCCACAAAGAAGCCCTGGGCTGGCTGGGGCAGCGCCGAGGGGCACCCAGCCTAACGTTGTCTCCTCGCTTTACTCTCCCTTATTGAAGCCAGCAGCCCCGCAGAACTGTTAGGAGAAAGGAGATTGGGAGCTGCTGCCTTTCAGAGAGCTAAAGCTGCATGGGGTCCTCTTAAAACCCTTCTGCCAAGGCTGGAGGCGTTGCCCAGCCAGAGTCCCTCCAGGGCAAATTTCTTTTCCGTCTGTTTTTCATATGATTTCAGCTGGTGCCAGCCGCCTCTGCTTGCTGGAGCCGGGCAGAGCACCATAACCAAGACACGCTGTCGGAGGCAGTGTTTGGGCAGCTGATTTGCAGCCACCTCTGTTTCAAGGAGGAAGAGCTGGAAAGCCCGTAGAGATACAGGATGATGGGGCTGCTACGTACGAGCTATTCGCTCCTGGTGGGCTGTGTCTCACCAGGAAGGGCAGAGGCATCACCCTGGGTTGTATCACCTTTCCTTGGCACCCTCCCTCCTCTCTCTTTCTCCCTTCCCCTTGCCCAGCTCATCCTCTCCAGGGGAACCCGTCGATGCCCATCCATGCAGCGTGGTCCTTCAGCAGCTCAGGCCAGCCCACCAGAGTGGTTGAAAGCAAAGGAGGTCAGGGATGTGGGGTACATCCATAGGGGCACATCCATAGACATCACACCTTCCCCTACAAACCAGACAGCCGCTGGTGGGTCCTTGCAACCTGTGCTCTCCTGGGGTGGGACGTGGCATGTGCCATTCCAGGGACATGCATGGCAGGTGGCATTTCCCAGCCGGGCACGATGATATGGCCGAGCAGCTCGATTAACAGTTAAAACCAAGAAGCGTCTATCATGGTTAAGAGGTTTCTTCTCCCCATGCTGCACCTCTTAACGTTTCTCACTGGCCTGGCATATGGTGTTCGTCCCGGAGTGCATTCCTCTTGAATTATATCATGTCTCTGGGAGCTGGAGTGCTATGAAAAAGTATCGTCGTAGCAGGAGCTGGCACAGGAACTGGCTGGGGTTGGGGGTCAGGTGTGGGAGAGCATCATCAAGGGCTGAGGCTATAGAGGAAGCTTGCTAGAATCTTTTTAGCTTTCAATAATTGACCAGTTAAGAGATAAGGTCCTGCCTCAGGTGTTTTATGCTTTAAAGATTCACGTCAGCTTGTTGGCTTTCTTAGTCTGACACCAGCAACGGTCGGAGAGGAGGGGGAAGCGTGTGCAACCCTGACGTTGCAGACGAAGCTGTGATCCAACATTTTTAAATTGATCTTTTGCAAAGGGGGATGCGGGCCTGAAGAAGGAGGCTTTAATCCTCCCAGGGTTACTGCCGTGATTTGGGTAAAGCCTGGGTACTCGCAGCCTCCCTCCGTGCATGACAGCGAGCCCTTGGGCATCAGAGATGGTGGGGCAGGGGGATCTGCTGGTAGCTTCACCAGGTCCCTCCACAGCAAAATGCATTAGGGATGGTGTAAAACTCGGTGTAAACCTCTCCCTTTGTTATGAAGCGCCATGCCAAAGGGCTGGTTCGTAAACATATTTGTGCCAAAATAACTCATCTGCAACGGAGACCTCCCCTTCTTGGATGTGTTGCTGGGATAAAGATCCTGTTTGGGCTGAATTTGAGGCGGTTAAAAAAATATTTGCGTTCCCGGCTGAGATGAGGTCTATGTTAGCCTCAGCAAGTGCTGGGATAGCGAGATCTCCTGTTCCTGGAAATGCTCACTGTTAAAAAGCAGAGGGGGAGGACGGGAAGCAGGGGCTGTCGCAGTGGGGAAAAGGATTTGGGGTGGTCACCCCCAGGGTGATGCTGGCGCAGGAGAAAGCCCTGAGCTCCTGCATCTCTTGTGGGCACCTTGTCTGACCCCATGCATCCCGGGCTGCTGGGAACTGGTGTGCGGCTGCTGATGCTCCCGGTTTGAGCGGTCCTGCAGCTGGCATAGCCAGGAGGCAATGGTGGGGCCGGGATGCTCACATCCCCTCCGGTCCCGGCAAGGCCCATGAAACCCCCCCGGTGCTACCAGGAGGTGCCACGCCACACCGACGCCTGCCTTCCCCTGCTCACAGCCGCTCCGGAGGCTTCGCAAACTTCATTTCCTTTCGAGAACACCTCCTCCGGGCCCAAGCACAGCTCGGCATGAGGCTGGTGAGCAAAATTGCTTTCAAAAGCCATGGGAGACTACTTCCTCAATCCCAAATAAAACCGCTATTAACCTGATGG